AGCCCCCAGAACTCAGCTCATTAATAAAAGTGACCCAGTTTCTGTTCTCCCAAAACCGGTTTGCCCAGCCTCCTTTCCTCCCAAAACCAGTTCATTCTTAAAAACTGGTATTGACCCACCCACATGCTGAGAGGGCGCCATTTTGAATGAAATTTACCCAAGCATCCGTGTAAGACTACTAGTATAATAAGTCACAATCTGTCAATGAGACTTTTTCGTTGTTATTTTCGTTGTCTAGGCATATTTTGAAGATAATCCAAGAGACTTACAAGTATTGAGACATGATAAGGATCTACATCCCACCAGAATACAACCTCACTTGAAAAATGTCCCTGAATACCTCGGTGAGTTATTGAACTTGAGCTAATTTCTGCTTCAAATACAAATCATTGTCAAACCCCATCAAAGACAAAACAAAATTTATCTTCCGTTAATCCTTACTTTATTTTCTTTGGATCAGTTCCAGCGACTCTTAAACCATCCATGGCAAAGTTCTCAAGAAAGAGAAGACGCCTACACGTTATCTCGTCCGAAAAGAACTCTGCTCACAATGCATTTGGCAAGGTAAATGAGAAATAATTGAAAACATATGTTATAGTATATAATTATAGTTTAAATACTTTGGAAACAGGGATTCTGTGTGAAAGTAACTCAACAAAAGGGAAATTGACTATTTGACCGAGACCCGATAATGCATCTTGTTTACCCCCACCCCCCGCCCCACCCCCTAGGATAAATAATCCTTTTCAGCTGCTATGTTTTGTTTTCCAATTCAGACCACGTGATATTCTCCAGGGAATTTGCCTTTCGTCTTTTCATTAATTATGCATACATATGCACGTGGATGCACGTGCATAAGACGACATTTGAAAGAAACAGTTCTCTGGGGTACCATCACGTGATCTGAAAGAGAAAACGAAACATACAAACTAAAAAGGTCGATTGGAAAAATGGTTCTGTAAAATATTGTCGGGTAAACAAGGTGCATGATGGTCTCGGTGAAAATGGTGAATAGTAAAATGAATGTTAAGAACCTTTTAACCCGGTGATGAATTGAAAGAGAAATGCCCACAAGAAAAAACATCTCAAGCTGGCAAGCCAGTTTGTAACAGGTTTACAGACCCTCTTATTTCTTATTAGAGGTAATCATGAACTCGTATATGAAAAAAACAACCGCAAGGGTTTTATTGATCATAAGCGTGATGTCAAATTTTCCAAAAAAAGAGGAAAAACCTCAGTGGACAGGCTACCTTAGATTCCCTCTGAAGACAAACGAGCGCCTGTTTTTAGTTACTTGACACTGTCAGAGTGAGTCTTCAAAATTAAGTGATCGTGGTTACATCTATATCTATATCCCGGCGTTGACGCCATATGTGGGTTGAGTTTGACGTTGGTTCTCTCTCTGTTGCTCCGAGAGGTTTTTCTCCGGGTAATCCTGTTTTTCCCTCTCCTCAAAAACCAACACTTCCAAATTCCAATTCGATCTGGAATGCACGGACGCGTTTAAACGAGTTCATATGAACTCCTAAGTGCTTCGTGGGTAAACAAGCAATTTACATTTTTTTTACACCTCTCTTGTACGGACACCCTTTACTGTCCGTATTAGAGAGAACCGATTGTACTCAGCGTCTTACATTTCGAGTATCTTGTTATAATTGATTACTTGGAATAATAAACAATTTTGGATCTATTTTTTTGCTTCTCTTTTTGCCTCAGAAACGTAAATTGGATCCATTGAAAAGCTTCAAGTACCACAAACATCAGCACAAGGGTAATAAGGTGTGAGTCTTTTTGCGCTTCCTCAATCACTTCAGCTTTCTATAATCTGAACCCAGGTTACAATTTCCCATTCATATTTTTTATCACACCGCAGGGAATGCTTGTTTCATTGCTTTTCCGTGCATGTTGATTCAAATTCGCCTGACGTCACAGGGAAATCAGTAAATGGTTTAGCTCCATGTGAAACTTTTCGTTGATCTGTGGTTAGGGCACCGAGGAGACATTGCCTTCCAGCAATCAGAAGCACTACCGAGATTAAAGTAGTGGCACGTCATCAGTATGGGATTTAAGTGCTCGTTCCTCTGACGTCATTTTCCGGTGTCACGAAAAGTCAGGTGTTTTCTCACGCAAAGAGATATTTGGTTTTGATAAAATATTATTCAGCCTTTACCACCACGATCCAGTTTCAGTTACGATAATAAAAACATAATCTAAAGTAATCTAATGGAAGCTAAGTACAATCATGGATTAGAGTTTTACTTGCGGAGTTAAATTGCTAATCAATCTTTCAGGAAACGGGCCCTTGTCTGCAGAGAGGGTCGTCACGCAACGCTCCTCCTCGCTAATACCGTAAAATTGCGAAAATAGGCCCCTCCATGTATAAGCCCCTAAAACTCGTAACGCAAAAAACCATCCGGTAAATCGCCCCTCCGAATATGAGCCCTAGGGGGCTTGTACTGGAAATACAAAGTAAAAAAAAGCAATACAGGTACAGTAACATATGAATTTTTGTATTTGCCAAAGAGCTATTTCGTGTGCCACATATAGTGTTAGTCTGATGTGTTGTGTGTTAATCCGTAAGTAGAAAAAAATACNGCCCCTCCGAATATGAGCCCTAGGGGGCTTGTACTGGAAATACAAAGTAAAAAAAAGCAATACAGGTACAGTAACATATGAATTTTTGTATTTGCCAAAGAGCTATTTCGTGTGCCACATATAGTGTTAGTCTGATGTGTTGTGTGTTAATCCGTAAGTAGAAAAAAATACATTCAGTCATCAAGACGTGTTTCTTTTATTTACCCAGGGACATAATAAAGGAAAGAAAACTTAATCAGTGGTTGGTATACGTCGCTTTTCTGTATGGGAACAGAACATCGATGGTCTGGTAGCCAATCACCACACAGATGAAAAAAAAGAAACGCGTGACGAAGCCCTAAGAACGTCTGCGTGGGAGGCTATGGTTTGATGACCATCAAACGAGTCTCGTCCCAGTCTTTTGTCCCAGTCTTGCCACTAAATGACCAAATGAAGTGATTCGGATTAATGTCAGCCACTTCCTACTCTCTGCAGGCGAAAGACCTCAAACAATGGGGTGAAATTCAGTTAACACTTTTCACTGGTTGTTGATGCTACGGAAACTACTAATGGAAAAAAGTGATTCGTTAAACATTAATCAAGTGGACGTTTTCTTTGTCGACCTGTGCAGTTTTATATCTGTTAGTGAAATCTCGTACTCAAGAAAAAAACGCATAGTATTATGCTATCGACGCAATCAGAATCAGGCTACCGTTGAAGGTTTATTACTTGTAATCAGTTTGAAGATTAATGGACGAGAAGAGCATCAAAGAGCAGTTTAACTGGACATTGTTTGTATAATCATATGACGTTCTCAAACTGCAGAATTATAGCTGATAGTTACTAGTAGGAAAATGATAAGTCATTTTCTGTCTTAGTTCTGCCGGTCATTAAGCGGAGAAAAAAACAACGGCTTATAGCTGGTAAACCGTGCTATCAGAGATTATAAGGTAAAAGTAAAGGGCCGGGTTTCAACGACGCGTGTCCAATTTTTGAAATAAAATTAAAATGGAAAGAAAAATTCGATCTGTTTATATTGGCCTTTCCTTTAGACAAAGAGATCGCTCCCATAAATCCCAACGTGTAAGATGACAGCTGCTGAAGAGAAGAGTATTTTGTGGCGCTGGCCTTTATTACATAAATTAAGGGGCTTACCTATAAACATTTAAAAAAGCAGGTGGGTGCATGATTGCGAGTTTAAGTTAGCCTGTGAGCAAGCTCTCCTTTAAAGGAGTCGCGAGAAGTCACGCGAGAGCCGCACGCGAAAGGAGACGTGAGTGCGAGGGGTGGAGAAAGAAAGGAATTCTCCTTTTCCTGCTCCCCTCTCACTCGCGCTAAAAATAAGACTATCAGCTAAATGCAAGATATGGAGGTTTGTTTGCAAATCGTTACAAATGTAGTTTTTTTTATAAAGCACCAGAAACCCATAAATCACAAAGGCCTCTCCTAGTTTAGCGATCCACCGTTAAAGTTCAGTTCCAGCCGGTAGTTGAGTTGACAAGCCGGAATACTATGCTCAAATTCTCAAAGGTTTGGTGGCACTCAAATGACAACTTCGCCAATACGATTACGACCTATCTATCCCGAGCCTTGGTAGACTGTTCACAGTCCCCTATTTTTTCGTGAGATCGTTTGGATATAGCGCATCTTACCGTCAATGACGGCCATCTTGATTTTCAAATGTACCGAGGGGGCGGGCGTCGGGGTTTATAGCTGTAGTTTATACACTCACGCAAGATAGAAGCCCGTAACGCAAAAGCGCTCGATCTCGTCGATCTTACGGAAAAATAGAGGACTGTGAACACAGGGTCCAGAGAAGTTTCGTGTGAATAAATGAATTACTTATTTAAAGTCTCACCTTGAAAAATGTCTATACCTGTCGCTTAGCACGATTAATTAGCCTAATGGGATCTTTATAAATCTACTGTTAACGATTTCTTCGCTTCTTATCTGACCCAGATCGACTTTTGAAAATCAATAACCGCAAGCCATATCCTCGCTGGCGCACGGCACGTTGCCCGAAGGCCATCGCCCGAAGGGCGGCCGAGGCACGAAGTGCCGAGTAAAAAAATAGACCGTATTTTATACTGTAAGCCGATCTTGCGAGCCCTCAGTCTCTTGGTTTGCGGACTATAGAATGTGTAACGAAACTGTGACGCGATCAAAATGACCCATTTTTTCAGAGGTTTTCGACGGGTTTTGATGTTCTAACGACAAACACATCTCTGAACCCTATGCTGTGAACAGTCTAGAGTCTTGGATATCCATGATTCCGGCAAAATTTCTCGGAAAACCACGCACGTGATTACCCTTCAGCTAAGTGTACAAAAGGTACCACAACAGTCGTTTTCATAGACAATAACTGTCGACCAATGGGCGCGCTAGAATTTCGACTGATACATTAATAGAAAGTCCATGGTCCATGACAACAGTTCATTTCTGATCAAGTTACGCATAATCATCCCACCCATATTGGGCCGACCATGGATGTGCAACAACTCTTCAGAAATCTTCAGAAAGAAGCAGAGTGTCCGTTGTGTTTAGAGACAGTTAACAATCCCAAGACTTTGCCATGTCTTCACTCATTCTGCCTTGAGTGTCTCGACAAACATGCAGGCTTCGCTAGAAGGCAGATGCAAGTGACGATAAAATGTCCGGTTTGTCAGACATCTTTTCAAATCCCCGAAGGCGACTCGTTCAAGAACTTGCCCACATCTTATCATCTCAACCAATTGGTGGATGTTCTGGCTCTTAAAGATAGAGGCGCACAGGCCCAGAAATGCGGCAGTTGTGATGAGAACAGCACTGCTTCCTTGTACTGTTTCGTGTGCCAGAACTTTCTATGCACTCCTTGTTTTGAAGCTCACCAACGCTTGAAGGCCACAAGAGGTCATCGCAATGTTGTGGTAGAGAAATTACAAGCACAAGATGTGGAAGATTTGATTCACAGACCCGTCATGTGTTCACAGCAATATCACGAAAATCAACCGCTGGAATTTTATTGTGAAGAATGCAAAGTTCTTATTTGCCACAAGTGCAGTGTGGTTGTCGAGTAGACTGAACTTGCTATTTGAACCTTGTTATTGTTTAACTCAGCATGTTATGCGGTCATGTCATAAATGTATGCGCACGCGCAAGTCACATGGAAAGTACTGTATGATCAGATCGTCCTTTTG